AGCACGGTTCCGGGCTTTCTGACCTAAGGGCTGGAGATATGACAGCGGCTGCTGCTGGCCCTTGACTGGGAGTGGAGGACCCATGTCATTGTCTCGGCTCCGCTGGACGGGCTGATGGCGGCGGAACCAGTTGCGCTTCCTGGCTTCGGGAAGGTCTGTTCTTCGAGTAGCAGGATCGAAATTCTCTTTATCCTCGCCTTCGTCTATGGGCTCAAGGCTAGGGTTTTCGAGAAGTGCTAGGCCAGCGGAGCGGCGTTCTTCGACCTGCTGGCTATACAACTCTTCGGTGGTGAACAAGCGCTCTGTTGGTATGATCTGTCGCGGTGATCCTGCGGATGGTGTAGATGATTCGCTCTTCTTACGTATGGTAAGGGGCTTAACAGGCGATATTGGCTTGAGACCGTCAGAAGACTCTACAACTCTAATAGTTGACTGTGTATGATTAGTGTTCTGTCTCTTGGATGGTTCTGATGCAGAGCGGAAGCCAATGTTATTCTTCTCCATGATTTGCTCAAATGTGTCCTTGCGTGGGATGCCAATACTAGGATCAGGCGTTGAGACTGCTCGTCGCTCCTCCTCATGCAGTCTTATCGTACTGGGCTGCATCAGTCGGTCCAAGTGTGCGATGACTTCGTCGAGATAGCCTGGAGACATAGTTGCTTCAGCGGCTCGCTGTTTGAGGAGATCTCTGGTCTTCGCAAGCTCTCGCTGAGTGTAAGATCCTAGATGCTCGGAATCCATTCGTCTCTCGGTAGCTGGTGGCAAAGGCAATGGACGTTGTCGATAGTCCACCTCGATTTGCCTCGCTTTGCTGTGACGAGTCACAGACACCGGCACTGGATCCTCGTGCACAGAGAAGGAAGTCGCTGGTGAGGAGTAGGTATTCTGAGAAGATCGATTACCTGTGGCTTCGGTTCTTGGAGTTGGTATGCTGGAGGCGATTGGCGAACGATTGAAAGCATCATCGCATAGCTTCTCCATCTCGACGCTGACCTTTCTGGCGTCATCCCTCCAGTAGTGACTTGCTACTCTTGGCTTCTTTGCAGCGTGTTCTTTGACTGGGCTCTTCCGTGAGCGAACGACAGGCAGGTCTTCTGACCGAGGGTTTTCCTTCATGGATGTTGAGGGCGAAAGCGAGATTTCTTTGGTTTTGGCACGCGACTGAGACTGATCTCTAAAGAATCTCTCTTGTAGGGTGAATGGCGAGGTATGATGCTCCTGACTTCGCAGGCGCGGATGACGGCCGCTGAAGGAACGTTTGCGATTGTGTACGAAGCTGACGTTGCGTTTATAGCTCGTCGACTTTCGCGCGATAACGACGGATGAATTGCTTCTCATAGAACGTCGGGAGGACATCGTCATCCTGGAGTTACCTTGTGAGATTTGCCGGTTGGTCATCATCCTCTGGAGCTGTGAAGGACCTGCGCTGTGCATGGTCATTGATGGAGGAGGTGAGCTTGCGATACTGTATACATCTTCTGCGCCTCGGGCTCTGGCAATTGCGGGATTCCGTGCAGACGTCGTACTCCCCAGACGGGTCGATGGCTTCCTGGAAGCATCGTGAGACGTGACGCGAAGTAGGGTTATTCGTGCTTGATCTGCTTGGTCTTTCGCAATTTGGGCCCGGGAAGGCCGGTAGGGATCATAGCTCTCCTCGGTTTCTGCAACGCTGGCCTGTCGATGGACACTCTGGCTGTGGCTCTTCCTAGGTGGCGCCGCGCTTTGCTCGAGGATAGAGTACTGAGATTGCCGCCGTTGACTACGTGATGTCTGAAGAGAAGGTCTTGTCGAAGACCGCCTTGCAGCTCGCTGCTGTGGTGGGTTGTGGTGGTAGTCGCTGGTTGAGTACTCGATCGGAGGACCTTGGTAGTTTTCGAGCTGCTCGTCTCGAAATCTGAGAAGTTTGGTATAGAGGACCTTTTCATGATTTGGCCTGATGCATATATGATTAGCAATTCGACGGGGTTTCCAGTCAAACCCAATGAATCTTACACGTCACTCAAGAGTTTCTCCGCAAGCTCCTCCACACTGACACCATGCCACAGGTTGCCCAGATTTCCCAGTAGGACATCGTCAATGTCGTCTCGACGCTTGATAGGCGTTCCACAATCCTGTATTGTCAACGGTGGCGCAGGACCAGTGTAAGGTCTGCCATTGTGATCCGTACTATCAAGGTTCTCGTACTTTTTGAGGAGAGGGTGTTGCCACATGTGCTTTATCGGAATTCGTTGTCTTGGGTCCGGCTGCAATATTCTGAGTATCAGATCTGCGGCTTGCTGCGAAACCCCTTGGGGAATGATGTATTCGCCGGCCAGTACTGCGTCAATGACATTGCGCCAATCGCCAGTACTGTCGAACGGCAGCGTCCCTGTTAGCATGGCGAAGAGGATGACGCCGCAGGACCAGATATCTGCCTTGTCTCCACGGTAGTTTTCCGCGCGAATGACTTCGGGAGATGCATAGTGTGGACTTCCGCAGGAGGTATTGAGCCACTTGTTGGCAGGCTGAAGTGCAGCCATACCAAAGTCCACGATCTTGATATTGCGATCGCGATCCATCAGGATGTTTTCTGGCTTGAGGTCTCGATGGCAGATGTTGAAGCGGTGGCAGTAGGAGAGACCGGAGATCATTTGACGAAATATGCGAACAGCTTCAGGTTCCGGAAGACGGCCGTTTTTGATAATATGGTCGAAGAGCTCGCCGCCTTCGACGAACTCCAGGACAAGGTACCTTTGAGCTCCGGTCAGTCGGTCCATTGCAATCGCGATGCGACTATCTAGACTCACAGTTCACCCCTGTTCTCCCAGACATCGTATAGACTAATGACGTTCGGATGCTCAATTAGCTTCATGATGACCACCTCCCTCTCAATACCTGTTGGAATGGCGCCCTTGTCGTCATTCCGAAACATCGTATCCATGACGGCCAAGCTAGTGCTGCGTAGCATCTCCGCCGATTTCCTGCTGACGATCTTGATCGCAGCATATCTTCCCGTAACAGCATGTCTCGCTTTCCTTACTCGCCCCGAAGCCCCCTTCCCAACCGTCTTGCCCAGTTGCCATGGCCCTATATGGGTCTTGCGTCGCGATTTACCAGACGCATTAGTCGAAGCATTGGAGATCTGAGAGTCGCGATTGGAGTTCCGAGCATCTTCGCTGGAGATAGCCGAGATGCGTCTGTCTTCTGCTTTCACCACAGGAGGAATGGGATCGTTCAGAATCTGAAGGTTGCCACCGGGTGCAAGAGATCCGTGGTGGGGTATGCTGGCTGGAGAAGAGGTGTAGTGGTCTGAGCTGGGGACTGGCGTGGGGGATTGATTGTTGACCCAATTAGTGGCATCGCTGAGCGGGTGGCGTCGTCTTTGAGCTTTCCCTTGAGCATGATGTTGATCCATATTTGTAATTTATCTCGCAGATGAGGGTTGGACGGGCGCCTCCTGACGATGGGTCGCGTTGATCGATGCCCAAGCTGACCCGGCGCCGTGGTTGGCTGACGACCGAGTCTGGATATGAGCAAATTATGCTTGCAAAGGCTGCTGTCGCCCACTGGATACTAGCTGAAAGCCATATGATCAGTCCGTAAAGCTGAAAAATAAAAGAAGCTATGATATCATTCTCTTGGTCAGTGAGTGAGAGAGAGCGAGCGCGGTATAAAAGTATCGAGCAGCCGCCCACCCCTTGAAGACTGATAATGTATTCTGAGAGAGCTGCTGAATACGACAAGTCTTCTCCCTTCAGGCAATATTTGGAGCGCGTCCGAGTGTCGCTCTTGCCTGGTCTCCGTGACTCCTCAACCTTCTCAACCTTCGGGCGAGCAACCAACAACCTCAACACGTTGAACGCTCAGTGGAGAAAGTGTAGCAAAATGGTAGAGACAGTGGAGAATTGAAGCAAATTGAGCTGCAGCAAATGAGAGACGGGAATGCAACCCAGGTTGGCTGGAGGTGGTCTATTTTGGAAGTGAGGAATGCACCAAAACATTGGAGAGAAACCTCAGCTAAATGGAGATCAATAGGGCTGAGACTCAACACTGCCTCGCGGTGACGAGCAAAAGAAAATACTCGGGGATAGGTTAGAAAGTCATGTATGTAACGAAGTCAAGATATTTTCTTTGGAGTGCATGAAGATTCCTTCTCGACAACGGCCTACACCTTCTCACAATTCCATACTCTCGTCCGTTACCGCGACTCCCCGCTCTTATGAACGTCCATCTCTTAGATACAAAATTCAAGTCAATGTCATGGCATCTCCTGCATTTGTACACCTTTCCTGGTCTTTCTTCACGCCTGTGCTTCTGTCTATCATTCAGCACAGCTTCGGGAGCCTGAAGCAGACTAAACTGGAGGATTGTTTCAAAGAGGTCTTGCACCGTCTTGCGGTCATCATGCTTGCTACCACATGGTATCTACAATGGTGGAAAGCTCAAAGCGAAGCGGCGACGTTCGGGTACCATGTAACCCTGTCGATCTAACCTTCTCTGGGATTACACCAATGGAGGTTCAACTGGCATATTCCATTGGACTATTCTGCTGAGGCAGGTTCACAAGGCGAAGTGGACCAGAATACAAGGTATCAATATTAAGAATGAGAATGCTAACACCGGCTGGGTGCCAGAAAGAGCTCGGGCATTATTCAGCCAACTCGTACACGAAGACGCTTTTCCACCGCAGCACCGGTAGCGATACGCTGCAACAGCGACACCACCTCAAACCGGCTCGCGAGACCAACACCTGCACTAGGTTTTCCCACCACCAGCCCTGGGATATCTAACAATTCCGCATCCGAAGCGGCCCTTTCCCATCAATCATCCAACACCCGGCTACCCCCGGTACGCCACAAAGCGAGATTCTTCTGTACACCAGGTTCCCTGCACAGCATGCGATGGTAAGCGCCAACTACTATTACCTCGTTGCATGTCGTCCTACGCCCCACACCATGACGCCGTGAATCTCATTGATACATCGCCATGAGAAGAGAAATAAACAGAAGGGCCAGTAACCCCTACACTGAACTATTATGGAGAACGGGTGATTCATCGTTATCACTTGATTCGTCCTTTGGTTGAGGATCCGGTGTGTCTTCCCGGTCCCTGGTGCTCGAGGAGGATGTCGACTTGCCGCAGCCTTTGACAAGGATGTGTCTCTGTGGAATGTATAAGTTAGGATTTCCCCAACTCCACACGTAAGAAGCTTACCTTGAGAGCATCTTTCCTCGAAAAGCTCTTCTCACAGTACCCGCATGGGAAGGGTTTCACCGCAAGATGTATCCTCTTATGCCTTTTCAGGTCATGGTTCCGGTTGAAACTTTGGGGACACTGATCGCACTTGAAGGGTCTCTCATTATGCGGTGTCGGTTGCGGATTCCCATACATCTGTTGCTGCAGATGTGCTGCGTGGCCGCTATTGTAGCCAGCCATCATCCCCCCGGGAAGACCATGGCTTGGTATGCCGACCAAGCCCATTGGATTATTTGGGTGATGGATGTTCGACATAATCGGTCCGCTCATGTGTGCTGGGGCACTCATGGGCGCTGGGAGGGAATATGGAGCATAAGTGGAGCGGCCACCGAACGGATTCGACTGTGACGTGGGAGGGGAGAAGGTTGCTGATTGAGCGTTGACAGGCGATATTCGAGACCCTTGTGGTGGTGCGCTCATTGGGCTCTGCTGAACCGGCGATGAATTAGTGTGGAACGGAGGAAAAGTGCTTTGATGTGCTGATGACGGTTGAGACTGGCTGTAGAAAATAGGCGTTGAGTTTGGTCTTTGCATATATGTATCTGTGCCATTGACAGGCGACGCCTGGGTTGTGGCTGAGACGGGCGTCTGGGTTTGGGTTTGGGTCTGGTTCATGTACGCCATTGCCTGAGCCTGTTGCTGCATGGTTGGGAGACTTGTAGCCGCCGACATTGATATTGATGTAGGTAGAGGCGGGAGCTGGCTCATGTCGTATTTCATGTCAAATGGCGGAGGAGGCAAGCCCTCGGTTGCAGACGGCGAGTTGGAGTTGCCACGCGCAAGAGATGCAGCAAGTGTGCTCGACAGTGAAGGAGAAAACAGTCCCCGAGCTTGGTTCAATGGGTTTGTCCATGGCTGTGGCGTGTTCCCACTTCCCATTCCAATAGGCGTCAGACCTGTTGGAAGCGGTGGCCAAGCAAAGCTGTTGTACGGCGGCATTCCACCTTGGTTATTATTATTGAGACCATTCAGGGCAGAAGTTATCGGACTAAGGTTGTCACCTGGGACTGTCGATGGCGGCGTCAAAAGGTTGCCTACGCTGACCGATGCCTGTGTAGATTGCGTACCATTAATGGCAGGCAAGGGAGTGTATTTCTGTGCGTATTGTTGACCAAAAGGTGCCGGGAGTTCGAAGCTTGGCAAGTTGTTCGCGGCTGGTCTGCGAGATGTCAAGCTGGAAGATGCTCCGGTTGGCTCCAAGTTCGAGGCCATACCGGGCTGCTGCTGTACCGCGGCCGTCGCCAGATTGTTGAGGACCGCGTCGCGGTTGTTGTGACCTGGTGGCTTGAAACCGTCCGTACTGTCGCTTGGTGGGGTAGGTAGGGTGCCCAATTGTTGAGCCGTAGTGGCTGGAGTAGAGGAGGATGCACCAGGCCAGTACTGCTGACTGGCCTGTTGTTGCAAGAAATCCAGGGAGGGCAACGTAAGCTTTGAAGCCGGAGACGGCGTGGCGGGTTTGAAGCTGCGGCAAGCTCGATCGACTGCTGGCAATTGAAAGTGATCGCGCGCTGGAGGCAGCAGAAGGGTAGCCAGCGTAGAGAGTCTGGGGATTTGTAGGTGTTGCTGTCCTCGACGGAGCTTGCACCGTGGTCGTTTATTGAATCGGTGGAAGTTCACGGGAGGGTGCTATGGTTGTTCTTCGAGTCGCGTTTGGTATTTGGTGCACTCGATGCGACCCTTCTAGTCGTCTTACTTATTCCCAATGAACGTTTGGCTTTTGTGATTGCAGGCAAATGCCCGTGACGGTGGTTCTGGTACTGGGAGGCAGGTCCCGAGAAAACAAGGCGCAATGGCGTTTGGCTCGCGGAAGTCAGTACCGGTTGCGTCGGCGGGGCAGAGCAGAGGAGAGCTCGAGTCGGGCACGTCAAATTATTCAAAAGCTTTCTCAGATTAAGTTGCAGGTACCGCATATGCAAGAAGCTCGGTTCAACAGTCGATGGAGCGGCGATCTCAAGCCTAAAGTGTTGTGAGAGCTCAGTGTGTGCCTAGAATGCCGAGTCCAAGTGCAAGCCCAGGCTCTCGGGTCCGTCGATCAGACGGACGATCGCAGGAGCTGTCAGCGCAGTAGATCTCCGCCGCTCGCTGTAACTTCCGTCCGACTGGGCAGCAGTGATTGATAGTAATAAAGAAGAAAATAATAAATAATACGGAATGCAGAGGGGATTAGATATGATGAATCACAACAACAATGATAAATAATTGTAATAATAAGGGAAAGAGGTTGAATCCAAGCTTTTGGAAGGATTGTTGGGATGCGAAGCCTTTGGGGGGGGGGGGAGAAGGGAGAGGAGGGGGGAGGGATTGGTTGTTGTTGGCGCGTTGTAGGTAAAGTTCGATTTTCCCTTTGTCCAGATTTAAGGGTGGGCTTGCGGCAGGCGGTCTGAAAGGCTGGATGCGGGCTCTGACGGCCTTGTTTGTGCCGCTGTGACCTTGATAACACCGCTCAATTTGGCAGAAGAGACGGGTTCAAAAAAGGATGAAGGGGAGAAAAAAAGCAGTTGACAAAATCGAATGTCACCTTGTTTGGAATTGATCGGTTTTTTCAACGGTGATTGTAAACGTAAGGAGGTGGACGCGTCGCTGTCCGGCGAGAGCTCTGGCCCCAGTCTCGCCAGTCCGTCGCTTGATAGAGTCTCTTTGGGATTTGGATGAGAGGGAGTGGGAGCGACGCGGACATGGACAGGCTAAGGACAAGCTTGGTCTCGGTCATCTTAAATTCATGCGGAAGCACTTCTTTCATTTGACTGTCTAACCTTACTCTGCCTGACGTAGAGATAGCCTCAGCAGACCTGAACAACAAGGGGTTGATTGTCTTCATCTTTCTAACTTCTACAACAAAGTCTATCATGCTTTTCCCATCTCCAATTTATAGCCCTTTCGAACTCAACTCATATACCTACCCCACAATTCCTATTCTTTGGCCCACAAGCCAAGATCAAAATGCCTTATGTCTAGAGCTCGGTCTCTGAGCACAAATGCTCGTATTTACGGCTTTACGGAGCATGTGGTCTTTCATTCAGATTATGCCCAGCGAAGTATCGGCAGGGGTATTTGGTCGTGAAAGGGAGGCTCCGGAAGGCTGATTCTGACCTTCAGAAAGGCTTCACAATTTGTTTGGGTGAGTCTAAACTCTTGAAGCTTGAGAGGGTGTAATGGATCTCACGTCAATAATGATATCGACCCGGTTGGATCATCTGCCCCCGGTCACTTTAGTCGTAACCCGTCAGGGACTAGGAGGTATCCCTTGCAGACAGGGGTCTCTCTTTTTGCGCAAGAACAATGAATGGAGAATGGCCCCTCGGAAGAAAAGTCTAGACTTTTGACCTTACTTATTTGTCCCCCCCTTCAACTTTTCTCGCAACCATTTCCCTTTTCCTTTCCCTGGTCGTATCAATAGATGTCTATTGACTCCAACACGTCCTAGTGGGAGCCCATACGAATTCAAGATGGTTTGCCTGAGGCCTCATCTTGCTATACGAAGTTGTGAAACTTGACAGTTGTTGGTGTTTTAACGCGGCTCGTATTAGGGGAGGTTTTCTTTTTTAGTTAGGCCTGTCTCCGCAGCCTCAACCCAACTTGAAGAGATAGAGTGCAGCGGAGGGGGACGGAAGCTTCCCCTGACTTTTGTACCAGGCAGTAGGTATGGAGATCCCGATTCCATGGATCATTTGACGTTCAAGGAAGGCATATCTCTCTCAAAGCCTCTCGTGTGCCCAGGAGATATTCAGAAGGTCCGAACGGTTCCGTGGGGCTTCAACCATGGTTACGGGATGCGGAGACAATCGATGAGATCTTCCTTGCGTATTGCGGAAGTCCAAGCAAGTCCGGGGAAAGTGATGCCAGATCAGGGTATGTAAGAAAGGGTGGAGACGGTACAAGGCAAGGTAGAGGGTTAGAAGGGACCGGTCTAGACACCATCTCGGACGGCGGACCGGATCGACCGATGTCAAGCTTGATCATGCTCAAATGAAGTGACGAGAGATTATATGCTGGCTGCTGCTATCCTTCCATCAGCGTGATACGACGAAAAGATGTCAGACTCCTGTCACTTTGAAAGGAAGGTTGTAGACTTTTTACGATGCCTTGCATGAAACTTTCGCTTATTTGACTCTTTCATTGGTCGAGGTCAAATTGAGCCAAGAAGCGACATCAAACTTGCTGTCTTGGCAAGGAATCTTTTGACTGGACCCCACATTTAGAGTGGCTCGCAACCTTTCTTCTTCCGCGCGAGTTGCGACCTCTCTCAACCCACCCTTGAAAGCTCGAAATAGTCGTGAGAATGATGATGATGACAATGATTATGATAATGATAATGATAATGATAATGATAATGATAATGATAATGATAATGATAATGATAATGATAATGATAATGATAATGATAATGATAATGATAATGATAGTGATAATGATGATAATGATGATGATCGCAAATGAACAAAACAAGTCTTTTCCATATCGAGTCCCATTCAAGTGTCTTAATGTGGTACATTGTGCTGGGATGTCGGTGTCCAGTTGCGTTTCTCGATTGTTTAATAATAGTAATAATGGTAATAATAATGATAATGACAATGCTAATGATAATGATAATAGTAATAGTAATAGTAATAGTCATAGTAATAGTAATAGTAACAATAATATTGTTCCCATGATTTTTCAAATCTACGAAAATCCGCTAAAAGTTCAGTGTCTCCGGAATCTTGCATGCGTCTATTGATTGTCGGGTCCCACGCCTCCTCGGGCTACTTTGCGATAAGCAGCCAATAGACTCCACCCACATCGCCCCCCTCCAAAAGCCGCCAACCACCGACACCCGCAGCCCTCAAGCCAGCCATGCCTCGTGGCAATCGCAACTAAGAACCCTAAATCATTATCTTATTCACTTGCTGCCACACCCTTTCAAGCATACATCCCTCCCCCCCTCCCCCCCAATTCTTGTACCTCCTTTTCTCCCTTTTTCCCTCTCTCCCACTTGAACCAATCATGATCCCAATGTCATCCTCCCACAGATAAGGCAAATCATGACGGGAAATCTGACATTTGATATAAAATATTTGTCATGAAAGGGTTCGGACTTTTCAATATAGCTTGCCAATCACGTCACATCATGCTGCATACCTACGGTACAGCTGCAGATGCAAATACGTTTACCCATGCACGGTTTGCATACCGAATCCGGACCATTTTCTTTTTGGTGGTATTGGCAAGGGTAGCGGCGATGACTGGTTACCGGAATATGTATGCCCCGGTAAAGATAGCCAGAACCACGTGGAAAGCAAGGACCGTGCGCGATGCGTCGGTCTCGCCGACGGAAACTATACCCCACCTGCCGGCAGTCAACCTGCATGACAAAAGATGGCCTTCCGCTTTGGGACGGCGTGGGGTCCCGAATGCAGGATGAATTTGGAATCGCTGTTCCTCGGGTTGAGAACCCGGACATCTGGAACCATGCGTCTCTTTTTTTACCAAGCAATCTCACTGGCCTGCTTTATTGTTGGGGAAAACACCTTTGGAAGATGACATTCTTCGTGACGATGATGATCAATGACTGCAAACCCTAGCACTAGTACTCATTTGTCTTGCTTCTATCGCCACAAGCCTAACCAGATCCGCCTCGTTCATCATCCTTGCCCGGTCGTATAGTGATGCAGCAAGACTGTCACCCTTTACCAAAATGGCTAGTTGTAGCTCAATTCATCTTGACTCATCTCTTGCACCATCAAGCCATCGACTTGGCAGTCTTCTGCCTGATTGAGCCCTTCACACTCCTTTTCCTCAGACGAAAACCCATTCCATTCTTCCTCCTCCTCATCTTGCACTGCAACATCGTCCATTTCACCGTAGTGTTGGCTCACAGGTTAGGCCATAGACCCAGCATCATGGCTTGGGTCCGCCGCATCATCCCCAAAACCACCCAATTTGTGCTCAATAGCGTATTCGAGGTGCTGATTGACGAGCTCAGCACCCCCGGACATGTCTTCAATCTCGGGCCTCTGCCCCGGTGGTTTGCCAATGAAGGTCTTGTCGTAGAGCTTCAAGAGCTCACGAGCGGTACTGCCCTGGATGTTCTTGTCCTCCAGCTGGCCTCGGACCCAGCGGCGCTTGTTGCGGAGCTCAGTGAATTCTTTGGCGCGTCGAGAGCCTCGCTGGGACAGCCATTGCTCGCGGATATAGGTAGGGTCGCTGAACGTTGCCAGCGGGTTTTGTGAGAGCACTGAAACGTTGCTCTCGGCGCGTCTCAAGACCTTCTTGGCGTTTTTGCGCTTCGCTGTCACTGGATGCCTTCCCAAAGGAGCGGTTCGCTGGCCCGGGGCCGCGGTCTGCTTAGATTTGACGCGACTCATGGTGTATGCAAGGCGATAGGGTGGCGAATATTGGGAGAAAACGTGCGCGCAGCAAGGGTCGATGTTATGGAAGACGTGATGCGAAGGGGTGTAGGCGGACCAGGAATCGCGTTCAAATCAAGGAGAGCCAGGCAAAACCGACAAGATTACAGATGGCGTGTGTACAACGTGTGCTGCAAACGTCGGAAGGCGTAGTTGAGGAAACTACGAAAAGGTGTTGACGAAAGCAAGGACAGAGACTGGAGATTTTAATTTTGATATAAATATCGAAATAGGAGAAAATCTTTTTACCGAGGGCCGTCGAATAGCTTCGTGGCGGTAGCTTGCTCCCGTCACGGCAGTGAAATACGTGCTCTCTGGTTCATGTGAGGATAAGTCTTTGGTCCCGTGGTCTTGGGGTAGCTGCCAACCTCATGGGTATATTGACGATGTCCGATCTGCTGATCACAACTATTGTGGATCCTTCATCCAATGGGAAAGTGGTGCAGTAAGAAGAGTGGCCGCCTTCTTCCTGTGCCTTGAATACCTGCGAGTGTTGGGGGGGTTAACCAATCCTGGTGCTTCGCGTATCTTTTTGGTTCCATGTTCGATCCTGACCTGTATCAGTCTTTTTACTTTTTTGCCCGCACTTTCCTTTCAACGCAGTGACGTCTGCACATACTACCCTGTACGGTTCCTTTTACTTTTGACCCGTGATTTCCGCTGTTTTGAGAATCCTGTGCCTTTTTGCTGGTCCTCTTTTGTCAAGTCACACTTTGGTGTTTGGCACTAGTCGCGAGCATAGTGCGCACATTGAACCATGTCACATCCATTCACTCTCTATCTTCGAGCTGAATAAAATCAGCCAATGTTAATCTTCCAATTTGTCGGACGCTTTACTCAATACGCTCAACGCAGCGAACAAAGCGAAAAAGCGAGAAAATCGCATGCACTGAAAGATTACAATTCGATGATCCAGAATATGCTAGCAGATGGGCTCCCACGGCTACTGGTTCCGACAGGCAACATTGAGGAGACAGAGACCTTGGACGAGAACAATTGTCAAATCGTGGTGGTACGGCAAGCAGACTCATCTTCCGATGGCGCTTGACCTTCTGGGCTCGGTGTCCAGTATTCTACCTCGTCGATCATAGGTGCCATCGCAATGGGCGCGCCTCACGCCAAGTGGAAGACCGAGAAATGCAAGAGGTGACAGTACCACTACTAGCATTGACACGAACCCGTGATCTCGAGACATTGGATGGTCTGGTCGGAATACCCCAGGCCTTGCGCATCTGGCAACCTCGGACTAGCGCTTTCTTCGCACAATGCATTGGCAGTGTACGCATACTGGGCTTGAAAGCTTCACATAGAAGAACGGATAGGCGTAAGGGGTGACGGTGAGAAGCCGGGACGTCGTCGTTGAGAAAGTCATAAGAGAGCTAGCCGACATGGGAAAGGACTGGTGCCATGCCAAGAAGCGACGCCTGCTCTTGACTTCAACCTCGAAGATAGATCCTAAGGGCAACTATTGACATTCTGACCTCCAAAGACAACTCCAAGCTACCATGGTCTCGCTCTTTTACCGCCTCCGAATGTAAGCCTGAGTCTATGGCCACCCTGATTGCTGGAAAAGGCTCTACGAATACAAATCTCAGACCTCAAGTTTTGCTCCTTACTCTTTAATGCCCAGTTAATATGCGTCTCAGAAGCTTCAGACTCAAAATATTACCCGTGCATTCATACTCTCTGAATCGTAGGTGCTGTCTTGGTCGCACGCTTCTTGCTAGTGCTCTCCTTCAAGGAATCTCCAATTGTTGCATGTCGCTGCCAACATCAACTACACTCATTATTTGATTCTTTTCCTGGAATCTTTTCCTGGCGTGCAGGTGAATCCTTTGAGAAAATCAATGGCCCTTTATTGGTATTGGTAGCTTTCGCACAATCCAAAGCCATCGCCCTAACAATTCGAGTTGCCAAATTCACATACTGTTGATACCCTATCGCGCTTATTTAGCGAAAAGCAAAGGAGGTCAGAGCTTCAAAGTCTGAGGAATTTCTGCTTGAATGGTTAGCCTGCTGTGTTAGACCAGAGAAGTATAGTGAGGGCTAGCCAGAGTGCTTGTATAGTGTTGAGATGAAGTATCGCCGCCACTACAGGCCAAGCGACCCCCGTCTAAGAAAGGAATGTACGCATTCTCTTTTGGCCGCAATCTATCCCAGACATTTGGAAGAAGAGAGTGAGTACTGACTACATCGCGAAAAGGAAAAGAACGATATAAGAAGCCAAAGAAAAAGGTGTGCCGAACTCGAACCCGGAATCGAAAAAAGGAAGTTTGCCTCAAGAGATCTTTTTAGATCGTACTTATCCTTCGCACTTCATCTTCGGCCTGTCAACGAAGCGCCACCAACGTTTACCCTGCAGTACGTATTGCGGTCGACATACTATAACACTGATAGTGGGGTTGAGACCTGGCGATCAATCACGACCACTAGCGTTACGTGGAGGACGCGGTTGCCTCAGCTAAACTAGAGGATCCAATGCCTTGTCTGAGAATAAGACTACTAATCTCATCCTCAAGGAAATCTTGTCGGGCCCTTCGGGACCAAGGTGCTGCGCCTTGCCTATCAACACTTTGCACACAACTCTCTGTCACAACGCTAACACTACTGTGACATTCCTCATGCACCTCTCTTCAGTTTCAATATTATCAGACCTCCATTACCCATTATGACTCGAAGCGAGGGTCCTGTCAGCAACTCTGGTGAACTCTTTGCCATGGCAAAAGCCCGCCGCCGCCAGAAGAGACAGGTCAAGAAAGCAGCCAAGAGGGAAGCTGAGCGCAGCAACAGCGGTAAATCACCATGCCATTTTCTCATTGGTTTTGCTCTCATGGTCCAGACTTCATTTGCAGCACTGTTGGGGGTTTTATTGACGCATCAAGCCCAGGGAATATGGCCCCCCAACCCTCTCATCAGACCAGCATACAATCCCAGCAAGCGCTGCTCGGACATGGCGATGAGCCTGAGAGTCGTACCGGCCTGGGTCTCGAGAAACGAATCAATGACGAGGAAGTGTTGCGAAATCACACAAGTAAAGACCCAATTTCAAGCTACTGCTCCGTCGTCAAATCGCCCATTTATTACGTCTTGTCCAGCTTTCGCTGACCTGGCACGACACGAAAAGCAGCGGCCAAAACTAGCCCGAACGCCAGCACCATCGGCGACGGTCCTTCGCAAAAGCTACCTGCAAATGGTGACATGTCCACACGCCCGCGTCATTTTGACTACCAGCGAGGTCGTGAGATGTTTCAAGCAGAGTGGGTGGCGGCCGCAGCAAAGGTTTCCGGGGGCCGCATCACGGCCAAAAAGGAGGACATGGAGGACTGGGTCAGCCCTTCGGCCAGCGTGAGGCGTCGGCGGGGCTTCGCCAGGGACACGGATCCGGATACCATCAGACGCTACGAGCACACGGACATGAAGCTTGCTCTCGGCGAGATGGAACGCCTGGAAGAGGGGGACGATGAGAGGGCGGCAGATGTGCGGATGGCGGGAATGTAGGGGCACTCCGTTTCAATCTTCCTGTGCGAAACAAGGGCAATCGCGAAGTGTAACGTGGCTTCGTGGAGCGGAGCCACTTGGTAACGAGCGATAGAAGGGGCTTTGATCATGGCTTGGGCATTTGGGTATTGTGGCAGCGACAGGAAATGAGTCTCTGATTCTGTGAAGAAATTAGGGGATATCCAAACTTCTCATATTTCAAGGAGGTCTATTTGATAAATGAGTCCATCCTACTCATCTGCCTCTTCCTCATCCTCTTCTCCTTCTTCTCCTTCCTCTCCTTCCTCTCCTTCCTCTCCTTCCTCTCCTTCCTCTCCTTCTTCTCCTTCTTCTCCTTCCTCTCCTTCCTCTCCTTCCTCAGAGCTTGGCTCTTCATCGGGCATGACTACACTATTCAGATACGAAACAAAAGGCGTCAGGATCCCAATCAGCTCCCCAATCCTCCCCAGACCTCCAGGGCCAAGCACCTCTTCGTCCTTCAGCTTCTTGCCAATAGTATAATTCCGCAATTTCAGCAGGTCAATGTTAGGATTGTCCTTCTCGTAACCCTTGGGCTTCGTCTTCAGCATATTCTCCGTGTTCATACCCACAAACGCCTTCACAGCTTTCTTCTCGTCATTCGCTATTCCGCCAAAGAAGGCCTTTCTGAGCTCTGCCGCCGTCAGCACCGCCTTGATCCTGTGGCTTTTGAGGTCGACGTCCTGCCGCATCAACGCCAGAGGCGGCGCTTCTGGATGCCAGACACCAGCTCCCACGAATGATCCGTTAGGCTGCACCTGGACATAGTAACCCGCATACGGCCCTTTTCTTCCGGTGCGTGACCAAGCAGCGGAGAAGTGCGTTTTGTAAGGCGTTGGGTCTGGGGAGAAGCGAATGTCACGATAGATGCGGAAAGTGAGATCTTTGGGCGGTAGCTCTGGGATCGTTTCGTCTTTTTCAATCACTTTCCCTGTGAGGCACTCGACGAAGGAATCGAAATCCTTCTTCGACTGTCGATAATCTGCATCGTGCATCTTGAGCCATTCGCGGTCGTTGTTGGCCCGCAGATCCTTGAGGAACAGCATCGTGTTCTGGTGTACGGTGCTGTCCGTATATGGTACCTTGCCCGCCTCCCTCGCTTTGGGCAGTCTGATGAAGACCGCTTCTCCAGGTGCGGCATCGATCTTCGCGCCTAGCCTCCACAGCTCTTGCCCCTTCTTCCCTGTGCTGGCGACCCCGCTATGGCCATTGCTCCTCGCTGGTCTCCCTCTTTTCCCCTTTTTAGGCGCATTGTTCTCACTCGCATCTCCATCTGCGTCGTCTTCAATATCGCTCTCCGGCGGCGATGACATCAGGCTTGCAGATTCATCCTCGTCCTCATACCCAGATGCCTCCTTTTCGATATCGGACTCGGACTCGGGATCCGAGCTGTCAGGGTGCTCGAAGTAAGGGCTCTTTTTGGGAGTAGTCTTTGAAGAGGTAATAGGGGAGGACTTGATGCGCTTGGATTGGCGCGAGGGAATGGTGGATTCGGAGGCCCGCTTTAAGGGGGTGGAGCTGGGGGAGGCGTTGGGGAAGTGGGAGCGACGCTGAGGCATGGTGTATATTTGCGCAGTAGGATGCGATCGTGGTGAGAGGAGAAGCAATTGGAGCTACGCTTGGTATGTACTACACGTAGTGTGTTGCAAATTAAAGCTGAGCTTCCTCGTCGTTTAACTTTGACCGCCAAAACGCGTCGGCGCGTGACATCACCATAGCCGCCTTACCGGAACAGGAAGCATTATTGATTTTCCCCTTTGACGCGGTAAGGCCTCCTTCCCGTCTCCGTGCATGTCAATGATGCGCCAGAAAGCACAGGTTTCTCCCTCTTTCGTGGCCAAAAAGAACGCCATTCTTGCCTTACTCTCCACCCCCGAATCTACCTACACGGACCTCTCCCCCAAAGGCTCCGTTGACGCAGCAATTAAGCCTCTCATTGATCGCATCAATGCATTGGACGGTGTAGTGACTACAAGTTCCTGCGCGGGGAGAGTGACTGTCTTTCTTGAGGGCAGAAAGCAGGGCAAAGGGTATGAGGAAAGAGGACCTGCTAGGAATGATGGGAGGTTTGGGAAGGAGTCGGAGCAGGCTGCTGTGCCCGGGGGAAAAGGAATGGGTGGAAAATGGCTCTTTGTAAGCCATGAGCCGGTTGGAATATTCAAGAAGGACGAGGGGAACGAAAATTTAACGGAGCTTCTGGGCTTGCGTTCATCGGGAGCGCAGAATGAGGCTCTGGCTCTCAGTGGAGAGGCCAATGAGATGCGACTTGCAAGATTTCAATTCGAGCCTATGGTATGTAGAGGATCTAGCATTAAAAAATGCATTTTCAGGGTTCTGCTCGACAGTGTGATGATGTTATAAATGCTGAGAAGAGACGTAGATCCTCCACATCATGACCGCTTCTTTACACCGTGCCCAACCCATTCTCGCAGCAGCCATCAACGCGGGATTTCGAGAAAGCGGCATCCAGAGCCTCAAAAATTTGGACGATCGTACTGCCTTTCCTATGGTTGCTATTCGGACAGCTGGTCTGGCTTTCGAATCGTTAGTCGGACTCATACCAAATCGTACACAGGATCGAGAAGATGGAGCTGAGATTGAAGAGCACGTCACCTGCATTGTTAGCGAAGAGTACCTGGAGCTTCTGGTCAACATCGCAAATGAGAGATTCAAAACAAATGCAGAAAGAATACAGAGGTTTGAACAAGATCTATTCAAGAGAGAGGAGGGCCTCGGGCAGGCGTGGGAAGATAGCAATTGCAGGCAGGAGAGGAAGAGAGCTGAGGGCCTGGAGCAGCAGCAGACGTTGCGAAAAGCGCAGGTGACTCAAGAAAGGGGTGGCCCTTCGCCGTCTGATATTGATGAAGGCATAGACAATGCTGGACTTTTTAGCTCTTCGCCACCACCCTGATTCGTCAATTGCTCTTGTTGTTGTTATTTACACAGGCACGGGGAGTGCCGTTCGAGCTGGAACTCAGTCCAAACCCCGGGAATCTGCCCCTTTCCCGTGCACCTTCCGCAAGCATCTCAAGTCGTTAAGAGTCAACACATTTTCATCAATGTCGACTGCGGTGGCGACGAAGAGAGTTACGTGGCTACTATTGACAGTCACGGTCTCGTCAGGATTACTTGGAGGGGCTGTCGAGGGTAGAATAAGTGCAGAGCGTTGTGGCTGACGAGTATCGGATGCAGGCCAACGTGCGTCTGAGAGGGAGTAAATGTAGCGGGTGAGGCTAGAAGAACGCTAGAGTAATGGAGAGCCCAATTTGTCGAAAGACCATGAAGCCGCTCGAAAATCTGACGCTTGGCCTTCGCTTTGTCCCTAATTCTTTTATCCATGCGCTGGCGCTTGAAGTCTTAGTGTTGGCCACGAGTGATAGTGAACCCATCAATGGTGATCTTCTCACGGCGGTTGAGCACACCGCTTTCGAAAATAGGGTCTACACAGGGCACGGTGGGCAGTGAGAATGTTCATGACTTTAGTGGTCTGGGGGATCGGTTGCAAAACGGCATGCGGTCGGAAAGCTCGCAACCGGAGGTGTTGAATCTCCCATAGCGCGAGATTTTAGAAAAAAACCATAGCAAACGTTGGTTGTATTCTCGCTTTAAAAATGGATATGATCTTAGAAAAAGCAAACAAGTGGACTCATAGCATAAGTCTTCCAGGGTAGCAAGATATAATGTTAAGAGGCAAAGCACACATATATCTCTTTTCAGAGAAGGCAGGCTGTGGTCATCGAACCTCTCGTATAGCAGCAGCATGCCTGCTTGCCCATCGACGAGGGAACTGCGGGCATGCAGGACACGGTGGCAGTGGCAGACAAGATGACAGCCGCAACGTAGCAAAACATGTAGTGCCCTTCTCGGCTCTTTCTAGACCTGTGATGTTGGCTCGCAAGAAACTCTCTGGGAGAAAGACGGAGATAGAACCACCTGATATTCGGCTTGCTATCAACCTCAGGCCTCCAATTCGACTCGCAGATGCGAAGATCGGTCTTCCAATGAGCTCGGCCACGAATGCCGCCGTGGAAAAGAGGGCCTACAGGGAAGCTGACAAGAACGCTGAAGACTCAAATTGACGGTGGGGAATCTGAGATGCGTGTCAAATTGCATAGGAGAATGGCGTTGGGTCAGGCTTGATTTTCGAAGGTGGAATATGCTTGAGGGGCGCCAGGAGGGGTTGGAAGGGAGAAAGGCCAGGTTTTGTTGTTTCAGTTCCCAGCCACAGCGGTGACGAAGGTATCTGGCGAGTCCGAACCCGTACGAGATCGACGGTGGCAAATGGTGTAGAACACTGTCGTCGGTCGAGGGAACATGAATCATTCTACATCTTGGCCTTGTAGTACATTGGCCGGTAACACGCCATTAAAGTTGACCGGCTACTGGCATACAAATTTGGTAGAGAAGCGTGTCAGATAAGGATCGGCGAGTGCTTTCGTACTCAAGACGGGGCATTTCCCATGGATCTGGCTGCTGCGTTGAATTTCATGTGCAACCCTTGTTGCCCCTTCAGAGGTTCTACCAGCCTCGCTGACTCAATTCAGTCTCGCTGTCAACACATCGGTATAGAGTATGCTTCCTCGGCCGTCCAAGTCCACCCACAGCGAATGTGCGAAGGCTGTCCGCATCGTCCGCATCATCCGCATCATCACCAATCCACCCTCTTTTCTCCCCCAAGAGGGCAACACCTTTAGCTTGCAGAGAAGAGACCAAAGGTAACCTATCCGCAAGTGCAGCGCCAATTCTCAGTGTTACGAAGCCGTCCAGAGAAGCTGTCCACGTGGGCTGGCTGACGGAGTAAGCGGCAAAAAGCAGAAGTCCGATTACTTACAGCAATATCAGGGGGCTGATAGCGATTAGTGGGGCCTTGACAATCGAGAATTTCTGGATGGCCATGCCGGGACTTGAATACAAGAATCGAGAATGGCTCATGGCGCCGTCTGTGTTGACAGTCGGCTCCGGGAAGAAGTCGGGGTTCAGAGCCTCGCGAGCGCTATAATAGGTACCTGCTGTCAGAGCGAGGTTGAGGTAGAGTGTTTCGTTCCAAGTTTTCAGCCAACTAGAGAGGTATAGATTCAAGGCACTGGCGCCTTGTTCATTCGAACATTGCTCCATTGTATATGGACTGTTAAATAGAAGGTCGTCGATGTTATCACCAAAAGGGACTTGGACTTGTTCGCAAATAGCTGTGAGTTCGGGACCCGTGCTGTTGATAGAGGTAAGAGTATTGTAGAATGTTCCATTGCCAAACATAGCCAGGACGGATGTTAGTAGAGGTCCAGGGACCACATGGTTAGGAGGCATATTAGCACTGTCACTCTGCATTGAGCGTTTGCTGATTGCAGGTAAAGTCCTTCATGACTTGTGTCAGACATCTCGACAATGGAGAGCGGCAGTTGTACACATACTCGTTTCCTCCAATTCCTCCGTAAGTAGAGATGTCATCCACGTCGGGAGCGGTAGCTAGTATATCATCACTAATAAAGCCATTCCACTGATTTGGAAGCTCAAAGTAGCCCAGGGTTGATTCAGCAATGCAACGGTAAGTATAGTTTGTGGCAATTTCCGCTGCGCTGTAGTCCTGGTTATCTAGATATAGATCCTCACTGATCTGATGCCTGTCAAGGGTTGGCTGCCAAGGCGACGAGCTAACGTCACCAGGAGCGCAAACCCTGAAAACGAAGGGATCTGCCCATGACTGACTGGTATTCCCAGATATCGCGGATCTAGTCGGATCGACGTTCGAACAATTTGTCGAGAAAGGATTGGATCCCGGACACTTAGACGGGAAATCGTTCGAAGAAATAGGCGCACAATTGACGGAACTTCCCATTCCTAAAGAATATACACGAAGAAGGCCAGTATCTGCGGTGATAGGTGCAGCAGAAGCGAACCAGGGTATACTGCTTTCCACGCCTAGAATGTCGTAGATCGGAGGCCTGGAGGAGAAATTCGTGTGAGGCGTCCACAAATAGGAAAAGTCTCCGGATGAAGCGGTGGTGTCCCCGATTGTGGCTGGTATAACATCCTTGGAAGTGGCAACACTGGTCAAGCCTTTCGGTGTCAACTCGCGCGCAGGCGCTAAATCATTAAACACGCCGTCTCCGATGCTCACGTTCACTTGGACAGTATCAAGGTAGTAGCCCTGCAGAGCTGGGATCATGACGCCTGCTGATAGTCAGCCTGTTCGGGCTGAGCCTACTGCGTTCGAGACAGCGTTGAACTTACCCAAGCCACAGAGAAGGGCCGCTAGGTACAGTAGATATGAGCCTGTTCTATATGGGTTGCCTCGTCGGAAGATGTTAATCAGAATCGCAGGGTCCGTCCACCCTTTATCTGCAAGACTGAGCATTTGGCGCAGTGATAACGATTTCTTCGGCTTGGCAGAGGGCGTTTGACAATAGACCACGACAGCTCTAGCACAGATCATCGATGTGAGAGGGATACTGAGTGCTGCTATGATTGAATTCGCAGTCTTTACGAATTGGCGCCACCTATCATTACCAATGAATTGGCTGCTGTGGTACCGAGCAGTTGGATTATCACAGGTGGCAAACTGGATGGGCTTGTAGCACAGCACGCATGCCAACGCCCATACAATCATTTCGGCAACGACGTGGCAAAGGGCCAAGAACGCGCTGGAGTAATGGTACCGCAGTTCGCGGGGCGCAATGTCTGTAGAAGAGGTTTGCTTCTCTACGCCATGATGTGGCGCTTGTTTGCCAAACGATGGTCCTCCGTCTGCAGTGTGTGGAGCAGCCTTAAGGTTGGGCCTCTCCCTATTCACGATATCGCCAATGGAGTTGACAGTCAGGAAAGACTTGTTCGAGGCTCGACGATGACTCTGGTCGAGAGGAAGGGCGATGATAGCCTACAATGGAGAAACACTGGCAATCTCTTTTTCAGCTCTTGATATCATACGCCTATTTCATGTCTTGCAAATCAAGATCAACGCAACTTTATTTTCTTTCCATTCAGGAGTAAGCAAATCCAATTCGTGGCTCTCAAGATATTGAAATTCCCTCCCCAAAATAGAGCAATTCAGTTCTCTCCGGTGCTTCAACTTATATACAGAATAAACTAAGAAGCCTTTGTAATGTCCTCATTTACAAAACAATTCATTCAGAAGGGATGTACAACGTGTGAAACCTAGAAACCTCCTTCTCTTGAAGTAAAGACATCTCAACTGGATTTGATGTGTTTGCATTGGGGAATGAAATCTCTGATGCAAAAGGGAGACAAACCCCGGCAAGGCATCTTGTACGTTACCTCAACCTTTGAACCCCTTAAATTCCCTACGACTCCCATGAAATGAAACAGGAGGTCTGAAGGTAGCGGTTCCTCAAGGGGCGCAAGACATGGCGTAGGAAGCAAAGCGCCAGGAATTCTCTTTTGTTGTAGGCAGAGTGTGACCATGAGCTCTCTCACAAGGTTGCAGTATTTGGTTATAGAATATCAAGCCAAATTGAAGGGTCTGAGAAACAGCTTTCATGAAAATGAAAGAATCTGCGACGGTCAAGGTTAGTACATTTAATACGTCCTGTTGCGAGAGGATCAAGCCAAGGAACTTATGCTTCAAGCTCAGCATTCGGGAGTGTAAAGGTAGACCACGCTCCATCAGAAATTTGTAAAAGTACGCTGAAGCCAATGGAGAATGAGAAAGCTCGCCCACCCCTCGAGGAATCGCGTCTTGGCGTTCGTCTTTGCCGAAAGTGGATTCGTTTCTCTTGGCATCTCAACGACATATCATTCCATTCTCTGATCATAACCATGAATTGCCATCATGCGGCTTTATATACCTATCCGAGGATTTTCTATAGTCCCTGGATACCAGGGACTCGTATATCAAGAAGAGCCCACACCAATAATTTCTGTCCGCACTTCCACGAAGAACAATGGACTGAAAGCCCTGTATGCTTCATGACTCAACAAGTTCATATCATGTTGCCTCAAGAAAAGTTGTAGCCATTCTCTTTTCCAATGACCTGGTTCAATGGTAGTCTTTTCTGCCCTGCCCTGTCCGCTTGATCCATGAAGGCCTGTTGCAGAATGATGCCTTCTAGATTTTAGGGCTATGAACTGGCGTATGCTTTTCTTGGTATGCTATAGCAGTGTATCTCTATGTTTTCCCTGTATTGTTGTGCTCGATCTGATGTCTGGCTTTAGCCTCAGACCGACCTTACCTCACGCTAGGGTCGCCGCTTGGCTATTTGTTCATGAGATGATTCTAGTTGTGCAGTCTGCCTGCTTGTGTCTTTGTAGAATGATGTTGAATCATGAATTCACGCTCCCTAATGTGACTTACGATTGCGAAAATTAGCGAACACTGTTTTGAAGATGGGTGGCAGAGTTAGCTTCACTTGCGCTCAAGGCAAAATCAACAACACATAATTCAGCCTCCGAGGGTAGAATAGAGACAAGAACACGAAACGAAAGAAAACAGAGGAATGACAAGCTAAGAGCTTCTACAAGCATTCCTGCATTTTTGCATTTGTTGATGAAAATTTGAGCACCCTCAAAGGCTCTGCAAAAAGCGTGAAAAAGACGGGAAACATTAGGCCGGATCGAACCAAAAAGATAACTCCCCGAGGTTATCTTTTCGGATTGGTTAACCGTCCACAACATGGAACCTACAGAATAGAATGAGGGGTAGAAGAACCACCAAATACCCGCCATACTAGCTGTAGGGATGTGTGATGCACATTTGGTGATCAGACAGCTTCAACTGGTCTCGACCTCCGGGAGATGGTCAGTCGCCCCATTGGTCAATTGCAGTCCAGGCATAGCCGAGTTCGGGCGGCCAACGCTATGAGAGAAACTGCCATGATGCATTTGACTACACCACAGAAGCTCTGCCATAACGGGGAAACCGTTCCCTCAGTGGAGTTAATTCTACTATTTCAATATCTATATCATTAAGCACAGCCGACCTCACATCATAACAGACATCATCGCCTTCCGCTCCTTTTTGACAACACTCTTCTATCCATGTACAACCCTCCGCACACGCAGAATCTTTTCTTGAAACCGCCTTTCCTCTACCCACGCCACCCACTCCGTACAACACTCAATCCCACACACATCAATGTGAAACTTTCAAGATGCCAGTCCTTCGCTCTGGTTCGACGGTCAGCTTTGTGAACCGACGAAATGCGCGCCGACATGGCTTTCGCGTACCAGTCAAGCCGAACCCCCAGCAGACGAGGCCAAAGGCCAACAGCACCGGTGCACAGTCAAGAAACCGTTCGACTCCGGTCGACCTTGCAGCTCTGACTCGAAATATCCGCTACCGACAACGTGCGCGTGCCAACGGACTCGCCACCGGCGACAGCGCAGACACTCTCCGCGAAAAGCGCCGCTGGGTTCAGACCGAATTCGACGCAAGCCGCATCAATGGCAAAGCGACGCCGGAGCTGCACGATCTATACAACAAGAGAAATATCGGCAAGCCACAGCATCAGCGGAAAATGGCTCAAAGCCTTTCCGACGCCGCCAAAGAAGCCAAACGGCGGCTTGAGGAGGTCTTCGGACAGAGGTCAGGTCTCAGAGCCGTGGCCGGCGCCGTGGGCCACTCCTTGGGTGATGATTCCGGTGACGCAGGTGAGATGCCCAGCGCCACAACTACAACCTTGATGGCTCTTATACTCACAACCATCGAGCAATCGCACAGCCATCTGACGGCGAAGCAGTTCATACCACCAAGCGTCCCGCAGCCCATCTTACCGCAGACAATGACGCGGCAGCCCGGCAGTTGGTGCTTGCTAAAGGATATGAGCTGGCAGACTACAGTGGTGGGAACCAGGGGATTGGTGCGGAGGCTGACAACACGGAAGAAGGAGAAGAGGAGGAAGGGGACGAAATAGAGATTAAGATGGAGGAAGACGCGGATGAGGGTCTGAAGTCTTGAGGGCATGGTAGATGACAAGGCGAACCGATTCCTCGACGTTTGCTTCTACAGTGGTCAACAGCATAGATTCCATGCTTATTGCAGGAGGAGTGGATTGTTCTGACGCATTTGGCTGGATCGGCCGACACTTAGAAGCAATGCTACGGCACTGACTAATGGCATTGAATCGTACTGCTGATGCTTCTGCTTATGACCTTGGGGCCGTGAGACAGATATTGACAGCCATTATGGTTTTGCCCATAGATCTCTGACCACAAATGATGGGTCATAGACTCACTTTATGAGTTGAAAAACTTCGATTCCCACAATGCACTGACACGAGGCACTACAGTTTGACCGCTCAACAGCAAAAAGTCTCCTGGTCAGTTAGTGTGAACTTGTCCTTGTCTCAGAGGTTGTCGCTTGGCGTAGTAGGACTTGAAAATTTCGAGATTCACTCTATTCATGACCTTGACATCCTTCAAGTTTCGCATGTCAAAAATATCCCTCTGTTCGTGACTAGAGCCTTTGGAATCCTTCCATATCAGGTCCCGAAACATGACATTCATTCCCATAGGCATCCGGTACTATGCCACGGAGAACACTCACCCACAGTGACCGGGTCTGCGGCAAAGGATCGCCGAACCCTAATGGGGATGCTCACCCGCTTCTTGGACTGTATCTCGAAGAATGGCTGGATCTTCAAGCCGCGACCATAGGTGGTCCCCAGTATCGCATCTTTCGCATAGATATAAGAGTGCAGGCGTGCGGTATGGGGCCTCCACAACCACAGTCTGAGTCAGCGTCGGAAAGGACTTTAGCCAAGGGTAGAGGCTCAGCCAATCTGTCCAGTTGCCTGTCAAGCAGGGCCAGCTCGGTGCATCTGACCACAAAACGCATTGTTCTTTGCTGTATCTCAAGGACCAACACCCCTCACCGGTGCTCATACCGAGGCTATTCGTCAACATTGCATAGACTGCATTGTCGTTTTCTCAGAATCTTACACGGCCACACGTCTCCGATGTTTACTAGCCAGTTACAACAAACGGCCGGACGTCTCGGGTGTTTTCTGGCAGCTCATGACAATGGTACAATCAAAGAAATACACTGGCGCAATAGCTTGGCTGACAAGTCCCAGACGTAAGGAATTAATGCCGTCTACGCGAACACATTGGACGTATGGCAAGTTGGGGAATCGAGAAACAATAGAAGCGCCTTCGATTTCACCAAGCCCTCTAGACTAACGTGCGGAAACACAAGCGCATCCTTGACTTGTCCGTATGACTCGCGGCTCACGACTCGAAAATCGGGGCGATGCGCCAAGGACATACTTGGCCAGACATCGAGCAATATCTTCCTACGTTGCTCGCCAGCCTTTTTGCTCCGTCGTGTGCGAAGCAGCTCTTTGCATCTTCCCAGAATGCATCGTAGACGCAACCAGTCCACAATCAAATCATCGACCACTTTTTCTAGCCTCAAAGATGACCCCGGACGCCGTGGGCATCTTTCCCATTGCCAGGTCCAGACTTTTCTTGGAGCGAAGCGAAAGCCTGTCGCGGGTCATTGTGGTTAGAAAATCCCATCCTCTTCGAATTTGGCAAAGGCATAGGGAACACGGCCAGAACATGGGAACGGAACGTATAGAGGAAGTGACAAGTGTCGTTGGCTTCATGTAAAGCACAGATCTGGAGCTGAGCGGTCCGACCAATTCGAGCTTGGCATGGCACCTGCTCAGTGCTGATCTTTCCCATTTCTTGGGGGTGGCTGGGGGGGGGCGTTTGAATTGCGGCAATTGCCACTTGTCTTGAGATCTTGAGTGGCTGCAGACCAGGCTTGTGTGGACTGCGAGGCTAACGCTGAGAAAACGTCTTTTTTGTTTCCCCTGCCAGGATGAAGCACGCTTATCCGACGTCAATGCCCGGAACCCTGTCCCCTCATCAGCCCCCTGGCTCTTTCAACCCATTGCGCGCCATCCGCTTTCTCATTTGTTACTATCTCGTTGAGCCTTTCTCGCCTCGTGTCTAACGTTTCTCCTTCAAACCCCGACATCATAGCTCGACCAACGATCCCAACGTTCCTTGTGCTAGGCATCCGCAACATTTCTCTCTCGACCCTGTATCCCACCCTAGCCGCTAAGTGGGCAACCCAATCGCAGAGGCTAGAATAAGCTGAGGGTTGCTTTGCTCGAGCCTTTGCATTGAGGTCCTTGAGGTCGCCTTGTTCTGGTCCCGGGCCAAATATCTCCTCATTGTCTGGACAGGCAATGGCGATAGCTATGGACTTGGATTTGTTGATGTGGGCAGCGAAATAGGAAGGTGCTAGTGCGTCTGCAGAGTTGTTGTTGAAGACAGATGGAGCGCGAAAACGAAGACCGGATAGATTGTGTGAGCAGCATGGGATGGCCAGGAAGGGAGAGGAGGAGATGGAGGCGAGGAGAGGTGTCCAAGGGGTCAGCTCATCTGCGTGATTAGAGATGATAAAGGTACCCTGAGGGAATATGCCATTGTGCCATGCTGGCACATCGCCCATGGCTTTTTCTGTGGTGGCTGCGGAAGAGAGCCCCTCCGATAGTATGCCTCCATTAGCGTAGATGGGGTACATAGTGTCGTGCTGTATTTCGAACAACGGCTGCGGGATGAGTATCATCTCCTTAAGCTGACTTTGGATCGATGCATCAAATGTATCCCACGTCTTCCGTCTGCGGGCATCGAAGCCCCAGCCCGAGTATCCTTCCCGCAGCAGTGTATCAACGAGCACCCCATTGCCGCACCCGATATCGACAAAGCCCGGAAAATTCCCCTGTTTGTTTGTAGGGTCATCTCCGTCCTGATCGACCAGGCCATTTCCGGCATCGTACATATCCTTCCACAGCTCGATCAAGAAAGCTGCGATGCCCAGATCCTCGAAGACATGCTTGCTCGGCTCCGTCTTCTCGACCCAGCGATCACATAGTCTCTGAGCATGCCTCTGCTTGAGCTCCGTGTAAGTATTCTGGACCCGCTGCTGTGAGACCATCTGGTCATGGTGTACACGTTTCGTGTAGCCCGTCCATTGGCCCTGGCCGTGTTTGTGGATTGTCGACAATAGATGCTGACCCGTCCGGAGAAGGCGTGAAGATAAAGGAAGAGACTCGGACGGATACAGGCGGTAGTGTAGAGAGATGTTGCCTTGGGAATCTTCAGAGGATGCACTTGGGTTCCAGCAATGCATGTAAGCCAGTGCTTGTACTCTTGGATGGTACCAGGGAACCTCGTCGATACTCGCAGCGTGTGGTACGTAGATGACAAGAGAGCGCTTCGGGTCTCTAGTATCATCGGTAGATGATTGGAGTAGGAGACATGTCTGGGCAATTGGCTTGTCCAATTGAGGATTTCGAGGGATCATCCGCCGGATAATAGTCCTCTTGACCTCGAAGCCTGGAAGCTCCCCATCTCGGATATGGTATTCTCGCAACCAGTATTGCACTTTCACCGCCTCATTCTCCGACAACTGCGCATTGGTGAGCTCATTGTTCGAGCTATCGTAGAGGATATCCGCTCGAAAGAGCAGGCTGGAGTTGATGTTCGGATTCTTCACCAGGTTGAGAGACACGGACTCAAAAACGTCAGGCGGGAACTGGCAGGAATGCTGGAGTATTGGAAGCCATGCTTCGTTTGGCAATCGTCGTGAAGGATGAATTTCTGTACTTTCCGAAGTGAGGTCGTCAGATTCTAATGTTTTTGCAGGCATCTGTTCAGCCCGAATTCATCGTCATTCGTCAATGCGCTTAGGCCTTCCCTAGGGGAGCTTTTTTAGGTAGCCAGGAACCAGCCCTAGAGGCGAGGCGAGGCCCCCCCACGAGTACCCGAACGGGAAAGCCCAAAAGGATAGCTTTCCCGCACAACCAGCTCCGCTCACAGCTCTGTCAAGCTTCATGTAACTTTCCAGCGAGTCTCAAATTCTCAACCTATCCAATATCCATGTCAATTGCGAACTCATAAGACCTAGCGCACACGACAACAGAGTACCATTCCGCTATCTAATCGAACCTCCTCTTGCTGCCATCATGTGGCAATCCCCAGTAGCCATCACCGGTGCCGAGAACATGTCCCACTCCACTCATGGCCCTCTCTTCTCCCCCTCCCTCATTTCCCCCGATGTCACCTCCGCTCTCCCGGAAAAGTACACAATGCGTCCCTTGCAACGCTCAGACTACAAAGCCGGCGTTCTGGACGTACTCAGAGTCCTCACGACCGTTGGCGAGATCTCGGAGCAAGCATGGATTGAGCGATATGATTGGATGGCTAGGCGGGGGGATGAGTATTACATACTGGTGGTGTGTGATGGGGAGGAAAAGGTGGTGGGGACGGGATGTGTGGTGGTGGAGAGGAAGTTGTGAGTGGTGTTCTTGGAGCTGCCAGTAGCATGCGCTGATTTACCTGTTTCGGACAGCATACACAATCTCGGCTTGGTGGGCCATATCGAAGATATCGTCGTCAACAAAGATCAGCAAGGAAAGAAGCTAGGCCTCCGTATAATAGAGGCTCTCGACTACATAGCTGAGAAGGTTGGGTGCTACAAGGTCAGTCTATTGTCCCCACGCGGTCGCTCAGATGGGCCTTGGTTCGATTGCATGCGAAGCATTGCTGTATCGTCATTGCCTGGACACAATTTCTCACCCCCTCCTGCCATCTCCACGCCCTTGTCAAACACCCCACTCCCCCACCCTTTCCCCCCACGACTCCCACTCTTCACTCCACGCTTACACTCGCACTCGCGAAACCCCAATGTTCAACCACTCGAATACCGTTTCGGTCCTCCCGAGCTGACATCGTTCCCCTCAGACAATTCTGGACTGCTCCGAAACGAACGAAGGCTTCTACGTCAAATGCGGCTACAAGAGGGTCGGACTGGAGATGGCACAGTATTACGACAAGTGACTACCAGGCCCTAGCTCAGAAAGAGGGAAGCTTTGAAAGATGGAAATTGACGATATGAAACTTGTTAGGTGAGGTCACCATGGCAATGGATCTAATTGACTT